CCCATCGCGTCGAGCGCCCGCTGCTGGTCGTCGGTGAGGCCCTCGCGGGACAGGTTGTCCAGCGCCCGCTGCTGGTCGGCGGTGAGGGCCACGCCTTGCGCCGCCTTGCGAACGAGGAGCTTGAGCAGCGCCTCGCGACGGTCGCTCGTGACGATGGGACCGCCGGCCCAGGCGACCCGCTTCTCGGGCACGGGCGGAGGGTCGAGCGCCTCCCGCGCGAATCGGGCGGCGCGCTCCGAGAGGGTGGGCACCTGCGGCATTCTCGAAGCGCTCAAACTTGTTCACAGCCTTCTCGGGTGGACTAGTTTATCTCGGCTTCTCCACATGACCCAAGCATCTGCACCGTGAGGTGTGATACATTGGCGCGTAAAGGGTCAGTCTGGAGTCGCGTGCCTCCACAACGGAAGAGCTACGCAGTACCTGACACCCCCTGGGGTCTTGCCACTGAAGGCGGCTGGCTCGAGGGCCGCGTTCGCCGCTCGGCCGGTGGGCATCCGCCGGCCGAGGGGGGTGGGTGCCGCTTGGCAGAGTGGGGAGGGTGGACGGTCACCTGGATCGTTGAACTCGGAACGTTGGCTGGGGCTGCAGACGAGCGGCGCGGGGGGCGACGTCGGCTCCGCGACGCCGTCGGCCCGGGAGCAGCCGCACGCGGGACGACCTCGTCGTCGCTGACGAGGAGGTTGCGCAGCGCCTTCTGCACGAAGGAGAGCATTGACGTTGCCGGCATCGGAGCATCGGTAGTCGTCCTGTTCGGCCTGGCTGCCCTGCGCGCTGGGGCGCCTGCGGCGTGCGTCGCTGGCGGGCCGGCGGGTAGCGCCGCCTCCGCTCGCTAGTCGGGAGCTGTGTCAGGAGCCTCGTCGCTCGGAGGTCCCGCGCACAAAGCGGCGGGCAGCGGCGGGCGCGGGGTAAGGGTTCCCGCCCGCTAGGCGCTGCCCTCTGCGCCGAGGCTCGCGTCAGGGGCAGCGACCCCCCCATCTACAGACGATATGCGCATCTTGAGATAATATGCATCTAAGATGCGCCCTACTTGGACTGCACACTCTCTTGCCTTGCTCGAGCATCTCTAGATAGATGGTATTTTCAACTTAAGATGCCGGAGCATCCTGGATGCTCGAATCATCTGAAGATGCTTCGCATCCCAAGATGCTTGGCATTTAATGATTAAAATGCAAGTTAAATTATAAAGACTTGAGCGGCGTGTGAGCCCTTGGATCAAAGTGGGAGTGGAGCCTATGAATCTATGCTAATCTCAGCTGCTACTAGTATGGCTATGTAAGTGTGATGTGACTAACTACTCTGTTGTCTGTGGAATACTACTGCTGGTGATGGAACTGGGAGCCAGTGAGTGATGGTGGGGGGCACTTAGCCCTTGTGCTAATGCTGACTTTTCTACACTATGGAAGGTTGCGGTTGCCTATATGTGAGACTGGTTTTTATTTCGGGTTCGGGTTCGGCCAAAAAACTCCGACACTGTTGATCGAAAAATTGGAAAAAATCCGACAACGCGCTCATGTTCCTGAGATGCATTGCGCATCCTCAGATGCCACATTGCATCCTGGGATGCATGGACTAACCCAAGATGAGGTTATCATCTCGGCACACTTGTGCGTCTGAATACGACTGCAGTATCTGAGATGTCACGGGCTATCAAAAGACGCGGGGCACCGTCGAGCTTGCAGAAGGGCTCAGGCACAGTCCACTGCATCACTCTGGTCTCGGTGTTGTAGTACCACTTCCGGCCGTCCGCCTTGACGTACTTCTTCCAGACTCCCTCCTGCGGCGGCAGAGGAGGGGCGCGGAGGCGAGTTGACGGCAGAGGAGGGGCGCGGAGGCGAGTTGAGAGACGAGAGTTTGGAGCGCGCTGTCTGCGCGGCGGTAGGCGAGGCGTGGCGGCTCGCCTGCCGCCCCTCCTTGCCCCCATTTCTCGAGCGACATCTCGGCAAGGCCGGAGAGCTGGCTCATCCCCGCCAAGCTCGCGGGGCACGGGCTCGGGATAACCGTGCGGTGGCCGGGATAACCGTGCGGTGGCCATGG